ATAACAATAAATATTATCAAAATATTCATCCTCATAAAATAGTATACCTATGATAGCAAAATATTTTCAAGGACAAATTAACCATTTATACCCAAAATAATACACATTATTGTAAAATGAGTGATCTCATATTTAAGACTACAAATAAACCATTTAAACCCAAAACAATATACATCATCTAAAAAAGAGAGATTTGAGTTCTTGGTTAGGACTTAAACATTCAATCAGATCCAAAAAAAGCTTTCTTCCTATTTTGAAACAGTTTCTTAATTTTCACCATATATACATTTTTGATGTTAGCTTGAAGGTGTGAGATCAAAGGAAGCAGACAGTGGGCGGTCAACAAAGGGAAGGGTTTCAATTAGGCGGGTGGAACTTTGATTCGAAGATTATGGTGAAGCCTCCAATTTAGGTGAAGTCGAATAAGAAGAAGCGGTGCTTCAGATGATGGCTACACGTGAGGGTTTCACGGAAGCAAGTTTAAAGGTAGAAATACCATTCTTTAGTATAAAAAGCTTTTGGGGAGAACATGCAGAATAATCCGACACTTCAAGAGATGAAGAACTTTCTCAATGTGCTTGCCTACTCTAGAAATTATAGGAATATGTACGTATATTAGCAATGCATTACATTTATTTACCATTAGAATGATTATTGTGGTTGATATTTTCTATCTTGTAACATCCCAAAATACGACCCAAAAATTTTTGTTTAATAATTACTAAAAACACCATGTTAATATCATAAAGTAAAACTCGTACATCAATATCTCAAAACAATAGGAAGTTGTATCAAGATTGTATCAAATCACATCCATGAAAAGCTAAAAAAAACAACTCTCAGGACAATTGAAGCGGTGGTGTGTGCGATGTCATCAACCCAAGCTCTTCCCTTTACTTGCGGAAGTACCTGAAACCAAAACTAAAACTGTAAGCATAGAGCTTAGTGAGCTCCCCCAAACTACCACATACCACACAATAACATATAACCTTGCCCACTGCATCGGACCGAAGTCCGGAACTAACCAGGGCCTTGCCCTCTGCATCGGACAGAAGTCCGGAAACTGCAACGGACCGAAGTCCGGAAATGACTGGGACCTTGTCCCTTGCATCAGACCGAATTCCGGAACTAACTGCATCGGACCGAAATCCGGAATCTGACTGAGCATATCATAGCATAGAATAAACAAATCAACTAGCATAAGCACATAAACTGCATACTGCATCGGGTTGTAGCTCGGGATACATAACACATAATTCCTGTCTGAGCCACGAAGGCATCAAACATACTAAAACTGCATTGGACCGAATTCCGGAAACTACTACTAGCTAAACGGGTCGGCATTGTGGCCTTAGACCCGTTCCTACTGGAAGGAAACTCACCTCGTGACGCTGACTACTGAAATCCTGAATAAGAAATCCATGATGGCTGCTCCGGCTGCTTCCCAGCTCTTCTGAATGCCAAATGAAGGAATGATCCCAGATCTATGAGCTCAAGGCACTCAAGTTCTCCTTCTTCCACTTCTCTTCTTCTTATTCTTCACAAAAATAAGCTCAAAGATCAAACACACACAAGCAAGGAGCAAAGGGGACGAACTAGGCTTTCTTTGGGGTGAATGACAAGTGAGGAGGCCAAATGGGAGACTATAATGGGGTTTAAATACATCTCAAACCCTAAAATTAGGGTTTTTCCCCTTGCCGCGTACGTTGGGCGTACACTATGGTACGCTGCGCGTACGCCCCTCATCCACGCGTTTCATTTAACCCCTTACGCCCAGCGTACAACGGGTTACGCCCCGCGTACGGCTTATCGGCAGACTACATCTTGGCCCAACAAAAGGCCCACTCTCATAACTAAATCTATTATAGCCCAAAATAAAACTCGAGAATTAAATAAACTTATACCTCGGGAAAAACGATCGTTACATATTTTGTGCAATGGATTGTATTTTTTGTGTATAATATTTTATTTTATGTTATGAAACATTAAATGTGTGATTTAATTTGAATATTAGTAAATTTAAAAATAAAATATGTTTTAAAGTTTTGTCAAAAATCATGATATACAAATGTCTATCGAGAATTTATAAAAAACAGGTAAATTATTTTTGACATACAAGTGGTATGTCGTAAATACATGACACAGAAATGGATGTTATGTTCATTTATGATTGCAGGTTTAATGGCATGCGATGCATGTTATTAAAGGTGTGTTTTCTAGTACCAAAGTGCCTTATCTACCGCCACATGAATGAATGCAAAATTTACACATATGATACTAATAGATACACGGTTGAAGCATTGTACTTTCAAAGTACAATGTTGTAATTTGGCATAGATTTTGAAGTATACAAACCAACAGAAAGACATTGTTATATCTTGTATTTAACTATTTGTTACTCCGATAAATTAGATGTCAAATATACAAACCAATGAAAATATAATGTTATAATCGATATCTCCTCAACTAAAAGCACCAAACTTTCAATATAATGCTAGAAAACCACAGATAATATAAAAATCATACTTTAGTACCCCCCAACTAAAAGTACATTACATTTGATCTTATTGCTTTCTTGAGCATTCACATAGAAAGTTCTAAACACTTCTTCTATTTGGATGGTCCGTTTTTTTCCTAAAAAAGAAATAAGTATTCGATATAAACTAATATCAACCTTTGTGTTCCAAAAATAAGTAAGTCAACCTACTAAATTTCAAAAAAGAAAAGTGAATCAGATAGTCTATTTTTTGTTAAATGCCTCGATAAATAAAGGTGAAACTAGTAGTCCTTCTATTTATGCCTAAAACTTCAAAATATTAAATTCCCAAAATACCCCCAAGTATAGCCGGCTCTCCCACTCATTGATATCGGTGTGTGTGTGTGTATGTGTGTGTGTGTGTGTATGTGTGTGTGTGTGTGTATATATATATATATATATATAACAACACTACAGTTGGCCACATCGTAATATAACATACTTACAAAAAAACAGTATAATAAATCACTAGTCTAATATACCCCCTCAGTCTAAGGTGGAGGTTCACAGATGCTTAGACTGGACTAGCAATCGTTAAACAAAACTCATGGGAGTCCCTTCATGAAGATTTCAGCGAACTGGTATTGGGAGGGTACATGTAACACCCGAGTCTGGCCATGTTGCACTATTTCATGAATGAAATGAATATTGATTTCAATGTGCTTTGTACGTTGATGTTGAATCGGGTTTTGAGAGAGGTAAAGGACACTAAAATTGTCACAATAAACCAGTGACGTGTGTTTTGGTGGCATACCAATCACGTTACGCGGCCAACAAATTTCAGCTACGACATTAGCGACCCCTCGGTATTCTGCCTCGGTGATGGATCAAGAGATAGTTGTTTGGCATTTAGAAGACCTGGAGACCAAGTTTTCCCCAAAATAAACGCAATAGCCAGAAGTGGATTACCTAGTGTCTGGGCAACCTGCCTAGTCTGCATTGGTGTAGGAGACGAGGTTGGCTGGTGAGCTTGTAGACATGTGCAATCCCATACGAATCGTGCCTTTAACATAATGGATAATGCATTTAAGAGCATCCCAGTGAGCATTTTTTGAGGCGTGTATGTACATGCACACCTGCTAGATAGCATAAGAAATGTCGGGCCTGGTGAAAGTCAGGTATTGAAGCGCCCCAGCAAGGCTACGATAGGTGGAGGGCTTATCGATAAGACTGCATGCGTCACTGCTTATTTTTCCTGCTATATTGATGGGGTTTGTACTGGATTGCATTTCTCCATTTTTTGCCCTGGAAATGATGTTCGACGCATTTTTTCCTGAGAGACGAACATGCCAGTAACATCTCACTTAACAGAAATGCCAAGAAAATAGTGTAATGGTCCGAGGTCTTTCATTGTGAGCTCAAATGATAGTCATGAAAATAGTCGGGTGTACAGTGACGTAGAAGAGGCAGTGAAGATGATATCATCCACATAAAGGAGGAGGTTTGTTGTATTCAAGTCGTGGAAGTAAATAAAGAGGGAGTGATCACATATGTTATGCTGAAAACCAATGGTGGTAACATAGTTAGCGAAGCATTGGTACCGCGCACGGGGTGCTTGTTTTAGACTGTAAAGTGAGAGCTTCAACCTGCAAACATGATTAGGGTGTGTAGAGTCCCGAAACCCAAGAGGTTGGTGCATGAAAATTGTCCAGGAAAGGTGCCCGTGAAGAAATGTGTTCTTTACATCCAGTTGGTTTATGACCCACCATTTATGTAAAGCAATGCTAAGCACCGTGCGAATGGAATCCAGTTTTACTATTGGACTAAGAGTTTCATCGCAGTCAATCTCTACTTGTTTTGACCTACCATCACAAACCAAGCGTGCCTAGTAGCGCTCTAGTAACCCATCAGCTTTAGTTTTGTGCTTAAAAATCCACATGCAGCAAATAATATTCATATTTGGACGATGAGGTACCAGATCCCAAGTATTATTATCGATAAGAGCGTTAAACTCACGTTCGCGTCCCTAACCTCTGCCCCGTCCACCTCGACCCCTCCCACGATAAGATCCATCTGAATGGCCCTGACTTGGGGACCGAGATTGTTGCGACTGAGAATATGGTCCGTTGTCCTGCTAATCAGTGGTGGTTGTGTCGACAACGTTCGCTGCTGGTGCGGTGATGGAGGTAGTGAGGGCGGTGACGGGTGGGTTATACAGTGATTCTCTGGTTTCCTCGAGACAAAGTTTAGAGCGGGCGGTGTAGAAGTCAAGTAGCGTAGTGGATTGTTGGAGAAGAGTGGTGATGTTGTCGTATTAATCCGAGAGACCAGAGATAAGCTATAGAACAAGCCGTTGATTGTCTACAGGAGCCTCGACATTAGTTAGCTAATCAGAGAGATTTTTGACTTCTTGGTAATATACCGCCATGTTAGGAAAGTTTTCAAGCTTGACATTTGCGAATTTCTAGTGAAGGTAGAGATCATGGGCCGGTTTTCAGTCTATAAAGATGTTTTCAATGGCCTTCTAGGCGGCCGCAACGGTGGTTCCTGGCGAGAGAATGGTTACGAAGAGATATTTAGAAATTATCTCGAATATCCGTTGTAACACAATGGCATCCAGATCTGACCACTGTTCATCAGCTTTAAGATCTTTTTCTTTGGCTGAAGTAGATGAAGCAGGTGGAATAATATGATCAAGGACCTTAAACGCACGACAATGTATCTTGAAAAGTTCGGACCAATATGTGTATTGGCTATCAACCGTATCATCACTACTAGAAAAACAGCCTTTTACGACGCTCATTGCGCGTCGTAAAAGATTCAGATGACGCGCAAATGCGCGTCAAGGAAGGCTCTGTCATAAAGAGAGACGACGCGCTTTTGCGCGTCATCTATAGACTACGCGCATTTACAATGCTCATTACGACGCGCGTTTACGACACTTCATGTGTATCAAGGAAGGCCCTGTCATAAAGGAAGACGACACGTATTCGCGTGCCGTAACCTTACGACGCGCGTGTTAATGACGCGTAATGCGTATCAAGAAAACCCTTGTCAAGAAAGGCCATGTCATAAATGAAGATGACACATTTTTGCGTATCATAATTTTAAATGTTTAAAAAAAATATTATTTATAGAGTTACTAATTTTCAAATTAAATAATACATTAAAAATCTCATAATTCAAAATAAAATACCATAAATAACAAAGATAATTTATTTTACTAATATGTCAAATACAAATAATTATTCCAAAAATGAATAAATGTTATAAAAAAAAATGAACTCATTTATATACAATTGCATCATCTAGCTTACTATGTGCCAATAAATCTCTGTGTGTTTACTTTTGCTTGAGTCTCGTTTCCTCCAAAGCTTCTAGCCATGCCAAAATATGATATCTTGAGTCTCGTTTCAAGAACCAAAATCACCTTCAATCACCCAATTAAACTCTATATATTCTGTTGTTTGAAAGAAATTGGTGTTTGTAATCTATGAACAAAAAACACAAAGACCAAGGTTAACATTTGCTATATAGAAAGCACAACTAGACATATGAATATATATAATACACAACATAAACATTTTCATGAAAATGATATAGACCAATAAGTAAGAGTGCTGATATTGATACCTTAATTACGCCATTGGTGAACAAAATTTTAATTGGTTGATAGCAATACTTGACCTCTGAAAACAAATAAACAAAGGATCGCATCATAATTAGCTCAACAAAGTAATTCTTATACATTGTCTCTACCAAAAGATTCATCATGGAAACATTTTTGTTGGAAATAACTAAACAAAAACCTAAATACTAAGCAAAAATATTATAGTAATCACCATTTAGAGCAGGATGAGGAGTCCGATCAGGCCATATAAGACCATTAAAGCAGAAATTTAAGTCATTTGGTGTATCTCCACAGTCACCTCCATATGCCCAGTATTTGCTACCATTTGCATTTTCCTGGAGTAACTCCTGAAACCAGATGCAAATATTTAGAACTACCCTTGCACCACATTTACATATTTATAAAATTCAAGAGATGAGTTTCAAACCTTGTCTTACTGTAATCAGTTATGGTCCTGTTGCAAGTCCAATCGCTTAATTTCTTTTTTTATCTTAATAATTTATTAGAAAAAAAATGTTAATTAAAAAGCTTCTCACCACATGGGTCAGCAAACCGCAAGGTCAAAGAAACCGAATTGTCATCATTCTTTATCCTTTTCAACCTGAACTCGTTTTGTTGATGAATCCTCTTGAATTCAGCAACTCCATTTTTGGTGTTTAAACATACAGATTGATCAATCTCCATGAAATTCAATGATCTTGGTGATGCCTCTTTCAGAAAAGGATCTTCTAGAAGCTTTCCAGCAAACGATCTTTCAGTTGCTGGAACCAGACATTTTTCTATGAATGCCTTCAGTTCAGAATCACCCACTTTGCTAAGAGAACCCGGCTTAATCCCCTGTAGTTTTCTTTAAACAAACAATCATTTAACTTATTTGATTCCATTAATAAAGCTCCCATTTCCAAAACTTACTGAGGTTACTTTCTTATAGATTTGAGCTGGATTTTTGCATTCGCTATAAGGATACTCAAATGTCACCATTTCCAACAAACACATCCCAAAAGAATATATGTCAACAAGTTCATTGTATTCCTCATCATAAAGCTCCGGTGCCATGAATTCAGGTGTTCCTAGTGAAAAAAACAACATTAAATTCATACTAAACTTGAAGAACATGTTTTGTTTTTAGTTAGTCTTACCAATAACACTCTTGGCAGTTGGTTGCTGCATGACAGTTGCCAATCCAAGATCACCAATCTTGATTTCTCCATTGTTCCCATTCACAAATATGTTGTCACATTTCAAATCCCTGTGAATCACAGGTGGATTTTGACTGTGAAGGTAGTGAAGACCATTTAGAATTTGTCTTGCCCACTTCTTGATCGCTTTCAAATCAACCGTTTTATGTTTCTTCCGATATCTAATAAATGCAAATTAAGAGTCGAGTAAAATACATCATTTATTACCTTATATATATATATATATATATATATATATATATATATATATATATATATATATATATATATATATATATATATATATATATATATATATATATATATATATATATGATATCAAATCTATTATTTCTTACTGTCTAAGGCTTCCGAATGTGAAGAGCTCAGTTATCATATATACATTTTTCTTCTTATGATCAACCCATGAATCAAAGAACTTGATGATGTTATTGTGTTTTAATGATCTAAGAAAATGAACTTCTGAATATAATTTTTCCAAGTCTTGTGGTGACTGCATCACAGCATCAATCCTCATATGATTCCAGGCAACTTCAATTCCTTCAAGCTAGTCGAATCCCTTGTACCTATTCAAAATCAAAATCCTTTATTAACAAAATCTTATAAACCGAATGAAAAACAAGAGCTTCTTCTACTAAACGTCATGAAACCATACACAGTCTGAAACTGTAGCGAATAATATCCTATTAAGCATCATCATTACCAACATCTGAATCTTCTGCTCCATTAACTTCTTCTAGAGAAACCAATGACTTCAATTCATGCTCAAGAGAATCAATTTCAGTTTCTGTGATTTCAAGTGTCTTTGTCAGCTCTGCTTTCCATACATGTAACTTGTCCATTGCAGTAGATTTCACAAATTTAGAACATGGAGAACTTGATGCATCCATCTGTAACAGTTCATCAAGTGCAGAGCTCAAGTTAAGCTCCAAATTAGATGATAATCCCTAGCCTCTGTGTGATTTTCAGACACATGACAAGAAGCAACACTAGTTGTTATAAACAAGTTACACTTTACTTTAAATGAAATAGAAAGGAATTCAATATTACAACGTTTAGACTATATTACATATTTGGTCATTGAGTTTGATTCAAAATTGAAAAAATCCCTCATATCATACCGGTGGAAATGATGATTCACGGTCATGCAACTTCGCCACTTCCCACAAATCTTCACTTCCCCTTTACTTTGCAATCTCTTTTATATTCCTGCTTAAAAAAATTCCAAATTTACAAACTTAACAAAAAGAAAACATAAAGTTTTGCAGAGAATGAAGATCAAGATACTCACTAATCAGGGTCACCACCAAACGGAGTTCTTCCAATGATCAAATAAAGCAAAGTAACTCCAGCAGACCATATGTCAATTTTAGGCCCTTGGTACATGGATTTGAATAATACCTAAACATGCATCAAAACCTTTTAACAGAATCTCATCTGTAAACGTTTACAAATGACAGATGATATTTTATAGCAATAGAACTTACGGATTTAAACTTCTTGCCATCAACCTCATTAGGAGAACCTAGCAGCAGCTGCCACTGCTCATCTACCCCAACTACACGCCTTTAATTTCATCAAATCAAATTTGCAGGACTTACTTAATTCATGATCTACACTGTGGGACCTCGTTAAACCATTGGTTTCCTTACCCATGAATCCTTCCAACCATATCCCATCTTTCCCATGTCTGGCAGTGACAAAAAAGGAGAATTTTGACCAAGGGCATTATGGTCATTTACACCTTATTTAAAGGTATAATTTTATTTTTACCAGGGGCCTTATGGTAATTTACACACATAAGAGATCAAGAACGCATAAGAGAGAGAGATCAAGAATTTGTGTCTATCCCATCTTTCCCACATCTGTCAGGGACAAAAGATGAGAATTTTGACGTGGGGCAAGATTTGTGTTTTGTTATTAAGATTTTGTCGTGTTTTTTGGGTGTCGTTGACCTTCTAGTCAATAGATACCTGATTGGGAAGGCTTTCTTTGTGTCCATTTGTTACATCTTCCTTGCTTTCAACAGGATCAAACCCATTTTTTTCACTGATTTTATTGAAAACAAAAAAGAAGAGAATTAAATAACGATTACAAGCATCATGGGAATTCCAACTACCCGAGTGACCAAAGTTGTTGCTACATCAATCGAGAAGTTATTTGGAGGTAATCATTTGATTTTTAAAATGAACATTTTTCCCCTGATTTATATCTAACATTAGTATTACAGGTGATATTTTATAGTCTATTAACCTTGGAGACATTATAGAAAGCAAAATTCCAAGTCTGAAGCACTTCATGCAAAATGATAATACATAAAACAAAGAATTCAGCATCAAATCTTTGGTGGCTCTTTCTTCTTCCATGCGGTTGCTTCAAAGGTGTGATAAAAGTCGTTTATACTCGTTAAAACCCATATAAAGAAAATTAAACATAATAAAACTCATTTTAACTTTAGTAATTTTATTTAAAGATAATAAAACTCGTTAAAACCCATATAAGTTAAAGTAAGATTAATATTTGTTCGTTATTTTCAAAAATATATGTGTAATATAATAATATTGTGTCATAAAAGTTGCTTATACTGATTTTCATTCCATTCCGTGATGGAATGAAAAAAAGATATCCCATGACTATGGAATAAAATTAGCAAAATGGAAGGAATCCCATTCCATCAAGAATGGTCCATTCCATTCCATCAGTCAAAAGTCAAAAAGGGGCACCTTTCAATAGTAACAAGCAAATTTGTGGGGTGATACTTGTCTTTCAACCTTGAGTCACCATTTTGTCAAGGGATATCGAATGTATATATGATAAATGAAAAAAAAAATGCACTTTTTTTGAAAGTATTTGTGTTGTTTAATAAACAACTGATAAAAATAAGTAACCTACCATTTTGTCAAAAATAATTTGTGAAATCCCGATTGGCTCCCACCTTTAACTAATGTTAAGGTGATTCAAAAAAATTTCATTTTTATTTTTCTAAATTTCAGAAAATTAGTGGATTACCATTTTCAAGCCCCTTAGAGATACTAAAAATGAGATAATATAAAATGTTTTAAACCTGATTAGACGAAACTGTTGAGGGAAGAGTTTGACTGTGAACAGTAGTATGTTGAGCCAGTGGTCCCTGCAACAAGAACATATAATCTAGATTTGTCAATATAGATAGGATAAAACAATAAGATCAAGATTCAAACCTGTGTTGGATATTCAGAGTTGATATATATATATATATATATATATATATATATATATATATATATATATATATATATATATATATATATTCTGATTTGTATTCTTGATACCTACAGAAAAAGAAGTCTTCAACAAGTATATGTCCCATTCTAGTGTTTCTATGCCTTCAGACAGAGTCAGACTGTCAGAATGTATTATTTAGTTTAGGGCAATGTTATGTATAATACTTCTGTATTTAACTTAAATGTTGTCATCTAACTTAGCCTCTCCCCAAAAACAAACTACATGTTTTGTTGAGCAATTATATTTGATGATCAACTGGTGCTTACCTGATGGACCACCTTGGTACCCACCAGATGAGCGCCCACCATACCTACCATGGGGCCTATCATCAGGATAGCCAGGCCTGCCGCCCATATCATGCTCATAGCCACCAAGGTAATCATACCCAAACATGTATCAACAATAAACAATACTGTGTGAACCAAACAAAGATTTTCAAGAAACTTCCTCTTTAAGCTACAATGCTTTTTATATGATTATATACAACATATACAGGTATGTGTGTGTTTTCACAGATAAGAATAATTCATTTTATCTCAGGTTTAATGAAAACATGTGTAGTTCCTTGCTCAAAATATATAATATAGCATACAAACACAAGAGTCGGTCATTGGGGCATTTTATCAAACAGTTGGTGTTCACCAAAAAGTATCCCTAAACAGGCAGTGATTAATCATTCAAAGATTACCAGGTTGCTGTCTTATGTAGTAACAGAGCAACCAAAAATCACAAGGAGTAGTGTAGAGAAATAAAGCATCAATTGTGTTTAGAAGATTTAAAAGATTTAGAAACAGCGTAATTCAGAAATAGGCGACCATACCAATATAAAGGCGTTATCTCAGGTTGCGAGGCTCGATTAGGAAAATCAAATCATGGACTCATATTTGGAGCTGATTGCGCCGCCTCTTCGAGCAGCACAGGAATCTGCTGTTGAGTGCTCATAAACATACTAAGCATGCTCCTAGCCCATTCAATAATGGCTAACAGAACACCACCAAAAAGAGCAGATCGAACGGCGGGGCGGAAACCATACCGTATCTGCAGAAATCCTCCTGTGGCGGCGCCATAATCGTATGCGAAGCGTAACCGTCAGAATGGACCTAGGGTTTTCCCACTACTGACTAATATTCGAAGAGATATTTTTGGTGGGTGATGGAAGTGAGAGAAAGTGGAGATGGAAGTGAACGAGAGATGAAGACAAACCAACCCTAACCCTTTGATTTCAATTTCTTGGCCCTGTGAGCGGACGACAATCATCGATTTACTAAAAATCGCATATCAGGAACCCACACAATGCTTTTAAGGTTTCTTTTGACCGAAGAGGATTTCACAATACGAAGAAGAAGGAGGAGAGTATCAGGCGAGGTTTTCAATTTTTTGGTATTTCATTACCCCCTTGGCAATTAAAAAGTTGAAGAACGCGTGTTGATGAAAAAATTATAAACCGACAGTTCTGCATGACACACTTTTTTATGGCAGCTGCCCTTCGTGTTTTTAATTTTTTTGTTGGAAACTAATTTTAGGGCACACATAAATGCGTGTCCTCTAATCTTCATATTTTGAAAAACTGACACCAATTTTTAGGGCACACACAAATATGTGCCCTCTATTAGCGAGTGTCATTGATTGCGCGTCGTAAAACGCTGTTTTTCTAGTAGTGCATGGAGGATTGGTATGTAATTCTTGATATTCATGACAATGACTACGGGGTGAATGGGGGTCGGGCCTGTCATTAGAGAGTGGTAGAGGTGATAAGAAGAATAAGAACCAGAAGAGAGGAAGAGGGGCGATTAGGGGTAGCACCAATTATGAAGGGATGTAATATGTCTCTATACCATAACAGTGTTGGATTAGTGTCTAAGTCCATAACTATTTTGGTATGTACTTGACCCGATGGTGCATGGTCCTTTTGGGTTGCCTTCACCAAAGCAACTTGATAGGATGAATTATAGAGAGAAAGGATTAAATATGATTTATTAATATTGTTTAATTAATATTAGTCAAGAATTAATTGGTAATTAGTTTTGTGACTAAAATAGATTAATTAAACTTAAGGGACTGGAATTGTAATTATAAGATAATTGCAATTTGGGCTATGGATTGCCTTATATTAAGGAGTGGACGAATTCTATGGGAAAGCCCATGAGGAAATCGTCCAAGGCCTTAAGGAAAGGAATCTATGGGTTGCTTAGGGCTTAAGCATCCAATTTAGGGTTTCCTTATTAGATAACCCTAATAGCCTAACTATATATACATCCCTTATGACCTAAAACGTGGCTAAGCATCCTTCTAGGGTTTCACACGTTTTAGGGCAGCCTCCATCCTCTCTCCTCTTCATCCTCTTGCTCTTGGTGTTTGTGAACCATTAGAGGAGTGACATTTGTGACTCTAAGCTTTCTAAAGTCAATACAAGGAGGAATTGGATTGTTATTGCTACATAAAAATCAAGGTAATGTCTTAAACCCATTCTTATGTTAATATGATTACTTGTATGCTAGAATTAGGGTTTATAGTCTTGGATAACTTACATGTACAATAGAGAAACCTAGATCAAAGCATTAGGGTTTGTATGAGCACATAGGATTAGGGCTGTAAACGAACTGAACGTTTGGCGAACCGTTCGTGAACGGTTCGGTGGGAAGTTCGTTTATGTTCGTTTATTTAATAAATGAACGAACATGAACAAAAATTATCGTTCGTTTAGTTAAATGAACAAACATGAACAATGGTCTCGTTCGTTCATTTATGTTCGTGAACGTTCGTTTACGATGTTCATTTAAGTTCGTTGATGTTCGTTCGTTTAAGTTTATTTATATTCATCTATATTCAATTGTTTTTTATTATATTGCAATATTATATGTTCGTTTATGTTCATATATGTTTCATTGTGTTTTTTTATCTTTTTGTTCGTTTATGTTAGTTTAGCATGTTCACGAACATAAATGAACGAACATGAACAAAGTAATTTGTTAAACGAACGAAATGAACAAGAAAATCTCGTTCGTTTATCCGTTCGTGTTCGTTTGTTGTTCGGCTAACTTAAACGAACGAACATGAACAAGACCTTGTCCGTGTTCGTTTGGTTCGTTTACAGCCCTACATAGGATGTTCTTATGCCTAAAACCCATCAGTGGTATCAGAGCCATGATTGGTTTCTATTGTATTGATGCTTTGTTTGTTTGTTCAAGCTTAAAAATCGAAATTTTGGGATTCTGGGGCTGAACTCGCCAAGTCTATAGATGAACTCGACGACTCAGTCGGTCAGAAAGAGGGAAAAACGAGATTTCTTGCTGTTTTTGCTTGAGGATACTTGCCTTATCATATTAGATCAATATAAATCCGTTTTTTTGATATATTTGAGTATATTCTTGATCTAATTGAAGATATTTATCAATTAATAAAATATTTGTTTCCTTATGTGATAATTGATTAATTATTTTGATTAAATTGGTAAATTGTTTTGCAAGAAATCATTAAATAAATCAAATATGGATAATTATGTGATTAAATGTTAATTAAGATTATTTGTTATTTGATCCTTGTTGTTATGAAAAGTTTCATATTTTCCCCTTTAGGTTTTATAGTTTAAATTTGAACCCAAAAGTTTTGTTGTTTTGAAATTTAAATAGTTGAAACCCTAATGTTTTGAAAAAGGTTTCAAAACTTGCCCTCAAGTTTTGGAATTTAAATTTTGATTAATAATTTAATTTTGATGTATATTTAAATTCTAAACCCTAATGTTTTGAAATGTTTCAAAACTTGCCCTCAAGTTTTGGAATTTAAAAGTTGATTAAAAGTTTAATTAGGAATGTTAAATTCTAAAACCCTAGTAATGTTTTGAAAAGTTCAAATCACACCCTTATGGTTTTATTAATTAATTAAGGTGTATAATTAAAAGAGGTTTAATAAATCCATAAAAGTTTAGGTTTACAATTTAATTGAATTAAAGGTATAATTATTAAATTTGACCACCTAGTATTTTCAAAGTGTAAAATACCCTATACTATATATACATTAAAAGTCTAACATATATATATATATATATATATATATATATATATATATATATATATATGTATGAGTAAAAGTCAGTCTTACCGTTAGTAGGCCTCATTCACGAAGCTGGTCTATAAGGGGTGTTTAAGGAAATTGCCTATAAAATGGCGATTGAATGGGTATCCACTCTTACCCACCGCACTCTTGACTAGTGGAGGGTCGTTAGCCGAACGGGTAGGATAGGACGAAACCTTCCATTATAAGTATAATGAAATACAAAAGTAACTAAATGTTTTTACAAATTCCCAATCTTAGTTACTTAGGCAAAGTGAATTGATGCAATTCCATGAAATTACACTTTGTGCCCTTGCGAAGACGTTAGTGGAGCGTGTGTGGTTTACCGGCACACTAAATGGTTCTAAGCAAAGGTAGCAAAGGGTGACTCAATGTTTGTCATAGTTCGGTGGAGCGTGTGTGGTTTACCGGCACATCGAATAGGTGACTGTAACATGTGAGGGCACCATGTAAGTTTGCATGGTTATTCACACCCGCTTTGTGATCCTCGGCATCCCAGTCACAAACAAGAGGGGCATATCGAGATTTAAACATGCCATTGAAATGTTCAATGAATCTCAAAGGATCTAGGAGTTTTCATAGTTTAAAACTTAAATTTCTTTTTCGTTTTCATGGTGGAAATTAGTGAATCGTCATTCACTTACCTTCAAATATTCTGCAATTAGGGTTACGGCATCCCTCTCCCGAGTTGTGGAATATTGTGTTGGGTCCTAGCCTTAGTATCTCATTTGGGTGATTTACTAAGGACTCAATCAATCAACTAACTTGAATTTGTTTCTCCCGTTTGTAGATGTCTAAGTTCGACAACTATGGTCTTCCCAAATCCCGTGGAACAAGCATTCCACATGAAGATGGTATTCCACGATTCGATCGAGGAACAAGAAATCATGCTTCACTTCCTCCACCTCCTCCAATTGTTCTCCCTAACCCACAAGATCGAAGAATTGAAAGGTTCAATATCACTAAAGCCCTATTGGAAATGAAACATGAAGATGGTAAACCCGTGTGTGCCCACGTTCTAGGAATGAAATCACACATTGAGAGGTTGATAATGTTGGGTGTGTCATTCCCAGATGAGTTGGCTGTGAATTGGGTTTTGCAGTCACTTCCTGAATCATATAATGAGTTCAAAAGAAAGTAT